TTAAAATATAGGTGATCATGGCTAATCGGGGTACAGCCCAGAGGCCAAATGGTTCAACACAAGGGAAAATCTGTCAGTTCAAACTGGTGCTACTTGGGGAATCAGCTGTAGGAAAATCAAGTCTTGTTTTGAGGTTTGTTAAAGGACAGTTCCATGAGTATCAAGAAAGTACTATTGGAGGTGAGGCCATTAGCTTTAGTGTTTTCACAAAACATTAATTATTGTATCGTACAAATAGATTGATTAAATAAAAATAAGTTATAGTTGATTATGTTTAAAGTAATGGTATAATAGTGACAATAATCACATTTATAAATACTGTATTCATTTATTTTAGCTGCATTTTTAACACAAACAGTATGTCTGGACGATACCACTGTAAAGTTTGAGATTTGGGATACAGCAGGACAAGAACGTTATCACAGTCTTGCACCAATGTATTACAGAGGTGCACAAGCAGCTATTGTTGTATATGATATAACAAATCAGGCAAGTAAAAATCTATGCAATTCAAGTGTGATTTTAATCACAAATAAGAATATTTATATGTGAAAGATTGTACGTAAAATATTGCAAGATAGAGGATTATATAGGAAGATACAGGATTAAATACACAAACATTTATGTTCAAACTTATGTGTGCTATGTAGTATGTTTTTAAAGTTTTATATTTCACATGTCTCATTACATATTTTGTAAACATTGTCTTCCATATCAAATCATTTTATGATTTATACAATTTATCTTTAGATCCTTTTGATTATGTAACTTTTTTCATTAAAATTATAGGACACATTTGTACGTGCCCAAACGTGGGTTAAGGAATTGCAGCGGCAAGCCAGTCCAAGTATAGTCATAGCATTAGCTGGAAATAAAGCTGATCTTGCAAATAAAAGAGTTGTGGAATTCGATGAAGCGCAAACATATGCAGATGAAAATGGCCTTCTTTTCATGGAAACTTCGGCCAAAACAGCAATGAATGTTAATGATATATTCTTGGCAATTGGTAAGATAATTCCTCCTTCTCTTATTATACAAAAGTTAAAACTAGCTTTTTCTACTTATTGCTAACATTGTTTAAATAAATTTCTGTCATAAAATTTTAGTTCAGTTAGAATTTACATTTAGGAACTATCCTTTATTCCGCTACATATCATATTTGTGACATTATATATATTTCTTTAATTTATTATATATGGAATACTTTTGTTACATTGATTATTTTATATTACAGCTAAAAAACTTCCAAAGAATGAACAATCAGGAAGTGCAAGCACAAGTGGTCAAGGTCGTCGATTAGTCGAAACGGAAGGACAAAAGGCAGCGACTGGTAATTGTTGCAAGTGATTATCCAAATCTGTACGTGTCAAATATGTTGGTATATATTTTCATATTAGTTAAAGTTTGTCATCTTCGTAAGAGTGGTGAAAAATATACCACTAATTGAAGAGTCATACAATAATCAATGTGCATGTGGTACGAGTCGAACATTTGGTATAGTAGTGTACTACGTCTACATATTTTTATAATACAAAATGTGTAATGAACAGACACTGACGATGATTTTGAAACGATAAGAGATTTGATATTAACAGACTTAATATTAGGTTAAAAATTCACACCTTTCTGGATATTGTATGTAAAATTTGTATTAGTATTATAGACATTCGTGTGTAGCACTGCTATAGGCTATTTCTTGTTATATTCAATACGTTTATTGCATGTATTTCTGACTTATTTCAGTTAAATTATTTATTAATTAAGCAAAAACAACACGCAGAATATCAAAATCTATGGTAGTACACTTTCAATCTGGGTCACTATTGAATAATAATTGCATAGGATATCTTACAGGCATTTGTACAAATTTTCTTACTTTGGATCCTTCAAATTTCATATAAACATAGCATTAAATTGTTTTGAAGAAATTACTACTTTCCTTTCGTATTTTTAAAACTAACATGGTTTTCTGGTACCTTATTTATTGGAGTCATTTTTTGATAACAAGATTAAATGAAATAATATATTGCTGATTTTATATATATGTCGACCTTTAACGTTAAATTTGACGCTCCTTTGATTTTGACTGGTACACATATAAATAATATTTAATTATTTGTCCTAAATTATGTGATCTCGCCACTTTAAATTTGTTATCTTTTTCTTTAAATAAAGGTACATATCATTTTTTCTGTTATTTATTAGAAACTT